CTCCACAAGTGGTCCTTGGCTCTTGGACAACTCTTCTGATAATTCTTTTCACTCCTCTGTCAGAAATCTTGTGAGGAGCACAAGATTGCAACCAGTGCAAAACGTTAGTCTAGAGACCTGAAAGGTCATTTTGACTTTTTAAATTACAAATTTAATCAAATAAGAATAAATGTGACACTTAATTGTGCTCTGAGACTATGATGTAGATAGGACAAAAGGAGTGGAACTTTTCACTCACCATTCAGGTGCAGCACTCAGGTGTGAAAGTGCACGTGCGCACAGGCTACATGCTACATGCTAAAGCTTCTTCAAACAACAATTAGGCTGCAAAGCATTACAGACAGCAATGTGTTTTGTGTGCTACTCACCATTTGCAGCATGTAGAAGTAAACCCAAAACACATAGGTCCAAAGGAACGTTAGTTTATTCACTTTGGATATATCCAAACTGCAAACATGCATGCAGAAGCTGCATGCACGACACATGCAGCTTAGCCCGCATCAGGGTTGCCAGATACAAACAACAACAAAAAAATCGCTTTATGCCTTTCTTTTCTTATGGATATTTAGAAAGACTCGTTTTATATGCCTTACTCTCTATCAACAACTTTTTATTAATTTTTTTTTATCACACTCCAGGTAAAAAAAAATAAAACTCTCGCTAAAAATCCAATTATTTGACTATGAAATTAGAAAAGGATGTGGCAAAACATAATTAAAGTTGAAAAGAAAAAAAAGGTAGGTCCTCATGTGGGTTCTTAAGAAATATTTTGTCTCTCCTCCGAGAGACTCCTTCAGTCTGAGGAGTTTCAGGTGAACTCTGGAGGAGAAACGTTTCATTAAACAAGAACCCGTCCAGAGGTCCTACTTATTTTTTCTTTTGGATTTTTTTTTACCTGAATTACTGAGATGCATCAGGACATAAAGTTGATTCTGTTGCTCTTTCTGCACCAACATCAACATTTACTGAAAAATTCAAACTGAGTATTTTTAATATATTATTTTTCTTGGTTTGAAAGTTGGCCAGCTGTCACGAAAAATGTGCTAAATACAGAGACAAATAAGAAAATGTTTATATTTAAAGTTTTACTTTTGGGGCCAGATAAAACGGTTTAGATTTGACCCGCGGGCCTTCAGTGTGACGTGTTAAGGTTTGGGGTGACAAAACGCCACCTATATTTAAAAAAATAATAAGTTTGCACAACTTTAACTGCCATGGCATTTTAGTATACTTCCTATTTTCCACTTCTGCTTTTGCAGAGTGACGATCACAGCCACTGACATGGTGTAAACTATTTTTTCCTATTAAAGCTTCCCTATTACGCCTGAGCGTTTAGATGCTTTTCATCACTTGTTTCTGGATATTTATAGCGATGAGCTCACAGCTGAGAGCTGTGTTGCTATAAAGCATTGGCTCGGTTCCTCTTTGGAAAATCTAAAACACGAGATAAGAGTGACTGAAACTTATCTCTCATAACTTTCCCCCAAAATAAAAATAGTTTTTGAGTGGGTGTCATCACATTTCACTTCTTGATTTGAAAGGCCACTCAGGTTCATTTACCACCCAGACGTCAAAAAACCCCAAACATAACATGAAAATCCAAAACCGAATCGCCGTCAAAACACTAAGAATCAGTCTCTGAAGATGTTTCAAATTCCATTTTATTAATAAAAATGTGCACACTTTAAATATATAAAACAACAAAACAATTTACAACTAATATCCAGTGTTTAATTCGTCCAGTAAATTCTGGACTCCGGAGACCTCGTTTTGGTTGATCAGTAACATCTATTCACTCCAAACCCGCTACCAGAAAAAAACAATAAGCAAAAATAAATAATCTAGTGTGATCCATTCCTGTTTTGACTAAATGAGAACTTTGAAAAAGTTGCCAGCTTCTGTAAAAGTTCCTACAAACCTGCTAGAAACACAGCAGATCATGCAGATGATTGTGCGTTTACAATGTTCCTCGCCGGTTGACTTTTCCTCCTTCACAGCAGAGAAGCAGCGAGCCCCAACAATCCCCACGCTGACTCGCTCGCTTCTTTCCCGGACACTCCTCGTCATGTGGCCCCAGACCCAGACCTGGGTGACCCTCTGATCCCAACTCTGCAGAACACTTCTGGGTTCCAGCGTAGTGTTGTGTCTCTGAGAGGGAACGAACAGCACCGTCGCACTTCTGACACCAACCCATCTTCAAACACAGATGTGCTTCATCGTTGCTTTGGGACCCAGAGTATAGATCAACATTAAGTCCTTCTTTTCCAGCGGTTTGAGCGGTGCGTTCAGCAGGATCTCTTTTTTTGTCGTCCTCCCCTTTTCCCGGAAAGTATTCTTCAAGCAGCTCTGCGGTAAAGGAAAAAATAAGGATAAATTAAACGAACAAACGCCCGATGATTTGACGAGACCGCAGCTGCACGATGAGTCAGAAACAATCAGTAGGTTTGGTGACTTACGTAGCTTATTACGAATATGACCAGTGCCATCAGCAGCAACGCTGAGGCGAAAAGCAGCGTGGTGTCTGCCAGCAGTTTAACTGCAGGGAAGTCAGGAGGTACTGTGGCGTCAGCGGGAGCAGGTGTGGGTTCAGCAGGACAATCTGGAGAGGAAACAGAAAAAAAATACATGTTACTCAAGTTCAAAACTTAAGCCGAGCTTGCAGAATGTTCACATCAAAATAAACTCTTAGAAAGTCGGAAAGAAACAAGCTTGTGCATCAGAAAGTTACTTTTTAATTTAGTCGTTCGGCAGAACTGAGGTGGGGACTTTGACATGAGAACTGGGGTTTCTGTACAATTCAGAGCAAAACTCTGGAGGAGTATTTAAATGATTCAAGCAAAGTGAGATGTCAAGTAGCAAAGGGGGTTCCTATAGGTCATATTATGGTAATTTGTGTCTAATTTTAAAAATTGTTTTTCTCTCCTGATACATAGCTTTATTAGCTCAGACCAACACTGCTATTTGAAGGTCAGATGATGTTTTTGCACAAGTTTTCATCCAAATGAGTTTAGAAACTTCCTGACTTTGTTGTGTTTTTGACATTTGAGGTGGTCAAAAAAGAATTTGTTTATAACCAGAACGCTTCAGGGAGCTGGGAAAGTTTGGGAAACCAGCACGAGGAAAAGACCCACTGACGAACTCGTGTTTTACCTGTTAGAGTGAGGACCACCTTCCCCTCCCGGTTCTGCTCTCCCACAGGTGCAGCCAGGTAACACGTGTACACGCCGCTGTGGCTGCAGGTCAGGTTGGGCAGGAAGAGGTCATGGGATTCCCCCTGAAAGTCCACGGCCATGTCCAAGCTTTCGTACCTGCTTGTCGCGCCGCCGGGGAGGTTTCTGGAGACGAGGCCCTTTGAACCAGGTGTCGGGGAAGTCCTGAGCTGCAAAACCATCAATAGATCTGTTAGATGTTTGCAGCAGAGCAGAACAAGAGGACACAGTTAGCAGCAGGTGCAAGAAAACTGACATTAACGCCAACACTACTGCTACAACCAGACGGCCCTAGACAATTTGGTGCCCTGGGCAAGATTTCAGCTTGTGCAATTTACAAATGTGACCCATCACATCAAAATGAGGACTAAGTCCAAAAGTGGGATATGGAGAAAAAGGCAGAGTGTTTTTGATTAAAACATTTGCAAAAATAGCATTTTGTCAAAACATAAATGAATAAATGCCTTATGAATGTATCATTTGAATGAACTGTATGAAATATAATCATAAAACAAAAGTTTGAAGCACTTTTTTGAGCAGTAGCAACAAAAGAAAACATGATTTTGAGGAAAAATGCGTTAAAATTTTGAGATTTTTCCTGTGAGCTGGCAAAGTTTTGTTTCCTTTCAGATAGGAAATCTCTATATCCAAATATAATTTGATGCTTCCTCTTTATAAGGACATCAAAGATTCCTCATTAAAATTACTTAAAATTAGGATTCAGACCAAATATTTATGTATTATTGTAACCAACAAGACAAACTAAGTCATATATAAGGATTTACTTATGATGTCAGAATGATCCAGGTATCAAAATATAGCATTTAAAGCCAGAAATCTGACATTGTAATTAGATCATTTTGACCAAATTTGACTTAATCCTCATTTCAACATGATGGTTCACACATATTCGCAAACCAAATTAAATAGTTTTGTCTTTGAAATGATGTTTTATCTTTAGAGTCCAATTAAAATAGTTCACGATAATTAGAAACAAAATACCAGAAGTCCACCTCATACCTGACAACATCTACTGACAGCAATGAGGAACACCGGTTCATGTTTACTAGTAGCTGTGGAGTGAAGCAGTTCTAGGGGGGTCCAGGGGTATAATCCCCTGGAAAACTTTGTAAAGGATTTACTCAAAACTATGCATTTTCAAGCCATTTTAAGAGCATTTTACTAACTTCTTGGGATTAATAATAAAAACACAAAAATCAGCACTGAAAAAGAAAGGATTTTAACCCAAATTTTATCTGATACATAACTGAAGCTTCCATTAACCTTACTTAGTTTTCTATTTACACACGGAGCACCATGAGTTAGTCTTGACTGCATCATATACTTTTATCACTAAATATCCTCTGTAACATGTAACACCTCGTGTAGTAACAAAGAAAAACAATTTACCTTCTGAATAACCAGTGATTATCCTATAGACTAAACCAACTCGACTCTGATAAAAAGTTATTATGTTTATTTTTTCGTCCCCCATTTGCGAAGCCACCAGGATAGACAGCACCCTTAGCCTATACTGCCTATACCACTGCCGGCCCTGGCAACTAATACCACAATATATTGTAATCATACATTATTTGTATTTTCTGAAACAGTACATTAATTTAAATAAAACAAATAAAAACTGTTTACGGCAGAACCCACAGTTTAAATATGTGCCTAGATTAAACAATTCTATATTTTTTTTCTTATTCGAAACCTTCAAATGAAACAAAAACCAGATGTTTCATTTGAATAATTACTAAAACAGGAGTGATTTACAAGAAGCAGCTCAAACTGAAAGTAGGAGCACTCTGCTGGATCTGAAGCAGGAAACCAGTTTCTCTTGAAGCTGACAAAGCACAATTTAAAAATGGTCGCGGGTTATTATTTACCTCCTTGTACCACCTCACTGCCATGTACTGGACCCCGGGCTTCTGCTCGGCGGTGCAGCGCAGGGTGCAGTCCCGACCTGAGACAGAGGAAACCTCCGCCGCGTCCTCGCGCACAGCTCTGCCCCACGCGCACAGGCCTGAGGACGGATTCAAGCCGTTTATTAAGGACAGCCAGCTCGTGCAGTCCAACACGTGAAACCTATAGAGCTGATAAAACGTGAAATGATAATTGTTTTTGGTGAAGACTTACCCAGTGAGAGGAGCAGGAGGCTCAGCAGATTCGGAGACATGATCGTGTTGATGCGTAAAAGGGTTGGAGGCGCCAAAAGTGCCAAAAGAGAGACTGAAACTCAGATGAGGAATCAGGAACGCAGAGCGTTATATATTTTGTTTTCTTTCCACACCCACTTCTTCCACACCCACTTTTCCCCCACACTGTTACGTCTCGAGAGCAGACGTCAGAGGCACGTCCATCGGCGGCGTCAAACACGAGCTTCATCAGATACAAAACCGTTCCACAGTTAGCAGCATGGAAATTAATTTAAAACTATCATTACTGTTAGTACTATTCTGCGCGGCAAACCTCTGTAAGTATAGAAGCATGCTGTGTCTGAATAAATGGTAATGTTTGTCTGATTTGTTGCGTTTCCTTCACGCGCTAAAGTTTCTTTTGCGGCTGCGGTGAAAACGCGTGGATTTTTCCTTCGTCACTTTCACAACTTGTACCTTTTTATCGCACGAATGACACGCGGGGAATGAATCTAGTATCAGCCTTTATATAAATAACAATTACAGAGATTTTCGGATCACGTTCTCTTCTATTTTTATTGTTAAAAGGAAAAATAAAAACAATAAGATGTAAGTTAATTATTATTGTGGCAGCGAACCGTTCAGAGACGCGTCAAACGAAGACAAAACATTAAGTCTATTAATGTAAATAATAATAATAACAAACACTGTTTTCGGAGTTAATGGGATGAGTGAAAGTAAAAGAGCTCGGGGTGGTCCCTCCAGGTGATTTCCAGCTGCAGGATGGGAACTCCCCCCATGAGGGGGAGTTTCTTCTTATTGAGGAAGTAAAGCTTTAGTTAAGCTCACAACACTTAAGCTCAAAATGAAAGCAGATTTAAACTCCAGTCAGATAAATAAACATATGAGACAGGTTGCTCCTTTTAATGTATTAAAATGTATGATTAATAAAACACTCCAAACAATAATAAAACTTCTTGATTCTGATTATCTGAGTCATGCTCCGATGCACAAAATTAAACCAGACAGTTTTAATAAAGTTTTCTTTTGTGTCAACATATCCATTACCATGAAAAGAAAAGAAGTTGTTTTAAAATAAGACATTTTTAATGAGGGGTGTATTGATACACTGAAATATTCTCTAAAGCACTGTATTGATTTTTTTTATTAAGGCTTCATTGATGGATGTAAGAAGAAATGTGAAATACAAATACAGTTTTTACTGTTCATTACTCTTCTTATTGTATAAAAATAAACAGAATTTAATCAGATTTTATGCATGTAATGCATGGTGTGCTCTTTATACTGAGGTTTTTAAATTAGAATCTTTTGGAGAAAGAAATCAATCACCTTGCTTACACAGTATAAATCACTATATATTGTGAATAGGGCTGCCACGATCAATRGATTAATCGACGACTAATCGATTATTAAAATAATCGATGACTAATTTAAGAATCGATTAATCGTTTTCTTTTTTTTGTTGTTCTTTACTTTGTTTTTCTCTCCAAACTGCTTCGACAGCTTCCACTGCCACATCTGCCTTTCTGTCTTTGACACACATGCACAGTAGTGGTAACTGGGGTAGGCCGTGGACGTCACAAGACATTATACAGACAGGCTCTGGTATCATGGCTACCCTGCTTTGTTTCCCCAATGCAGCCACTGTTCAAAAGAATGTCCCAACACAGATGAGCTACATCTAATGGCCAGAACTCTGCAGTTTTCACTCATTTACAGGCCAGCGGTCACTCTTTCAGAGATGAGGATGTTCTCATTCTTGATAGAGAGGAACGTTGGTTTGAGAGAGGAGTAAAAGAAGCCATTTTTGTGAAGAAAGACCGTCCATCATTAAACAGAGGTGGAGGCCTCCGTTTTCAGTTGTCCCCCTCCTACAGTGCTGCTATTGCCAGTATCACTCCACCCCCTGTTAACAATAGGTGTTAATTAGGTGTCAACAATAGCCATGTGATGTATCAGTCACACGGAGGCAGGGCTTAAAAGCCTGAATTTTGCCTGAAACTCTCAGACTGAAGAAGTCTCTTGGAGGAGAGACGAAACGTTTCATTAGAGAAGAACCCGTCCAGAAGACCTATACAATTTTTTTTCTTTATGATCCGATTAGTCGACTAATTGAAAAAATAATCGGTGATTAATCGATTACAAAAATAATCGTTTGTGGCAGGCCTAATTGTGAACCTTGTGACATGATCACCAAATTCACAGTACAGAGTCCTAATGTTAACCCTGACAGATAAAATCTAGTATCTGAAGACTAAGAGAAACACAAAAAGGTAAAAAGCCTAAATTCAGCCCGCAGTTAGCCTGTATCACTGTGGAAAATGAAGCAGAAACAGCTGAACTGAAGCTAATAACATTAACATTGTTGTTGTTTTTCTCTTTATTTCCCAGTCCCTACAAGGTCAGTGCGTGGCGGCTCAGTAATTAAAGAGATCAAATCATCGTATTCCTGCTGTGATCCAATCCTCAAGTTTGATCTGTCATGTGAAAACATCTTGAAAAGGGATAACACGGTACAAAATCCTGCAAATGTTGTGATTTTTGTTTCGCATTTGTGCGTTTAAACACGTAAATATTTGTGTGCGTGCATCTTTTCTTGCAGAACTTTGCCCATATTGATACCAAACAATGCCTACATCCATGCAAGACTATCGAGGAAAATCAGATGATCCTGGACGGATGTTTCAATGTGACTGTAACCACCGTGTGTGATGTAAAACTCCCACCGCCTAACACTTGATTCAACCCAAGTCCTTTAAAGTTGACGGTTTGTGCTTAAACTTACCTTCTGAACACACCTGTTTACAGGTCATGGGTGCCAAAGAGACTCGTACCACCTACCTCGGCCAAGAGTGCCCTCAAACCCAACGCAGCATGTCATCTCAGGGTGAGTTATGTTTCTGTAACAACTTGATTTCTAAAATCTTGTTTTTATCAGAAGTCTTTCATCAAAACCCAATATCTTGTTAGGCACAACAAAACCTCTTTAAATGAATCTATAATGTGTTTTTTTAAACTAGAGATCTTTGTACAAAACTTAAACAGTCAACAGGGGAGTTTGGAAGTCAGTCTTAAAAATAACTGCATTAAAAGTTGTGCAGAATTAAGACCTCATATTTCAAATATTTACACAGCTGAGCTATGCCTTTGGAGGTTTCTTATTAATTTTATTTAGCTTAAAACCTAATTTTAATTTGAACGTGTCTCTTTCCAGCAACAACAAAGTGAAATGCTGCCTGAAACCCAACTTGTACATTGTTGTAACACAGCATTTAGCTTCGAGGAGAAGAGTAACTCTGAGAGCTGGAGATGAGTATGAAATGTTTTATGAGTCATGAGTGCATGATGAGAATAATGCACATGCACTGAAAAAAATATAACTGACTCATTACAAAAAAATGTCAATAATTTCTCACAAGTTGAATGTTTGCATTGACCAAATAAATCAATTATTTAGAGTAACCTTATTTTTTTTAATTCATGTAAACTAACTGATAAAACCCAATAATTTTAAGTTGTTTTAAGTCAAAAAATAATTACATTGGCTTTTTTACTTAATGTAAAAATATTCTACTAAACTTCACCTGCAAAAAATATAACCCACTTTTAATGTTTAACGTGCCACGAGTGTGCTCAGCTTTCTCACATGCTTGATTCACCTTGCACGCTGCCGCTGGCACCAAGTATGGCAGGCTGTTTCACCATATAATAAAATCACTCATATTAGGAAAGTAAGCTGTTGTGTGGATGTTTCCCTCCTCTGCAGGATCCATGGATTTGCTGCTACTGCTGCTGGATGTGATCTGGATGGCTTTATTTTTGTAACGTCACATGTTTGGTCACCTTCTTCTCACTGTACCACTTTACCTGCTTCATATGCTTCTAACATTGTGTTTCTCATGTGGGCTGTATTCAGTTTCAATTTTAAATAATTTGATCAGCTTTTACTTTCTTTTGAAATTGTGAGTTTTTCTTTTTTTTTTTAGTACAAAACAGCTGGGTACGTTGTTAGATTTGGTTCCTACAAAACATTAAATATAATTAATAATCAACTGGATCAAACTCAACAACAGGACAGTTTGTTATGCCAAAATACTGAATACAGCCCTTAGAGTTCACAAATCAAAACTACTGACAGCAAGAAGCACACCAGCTGCCTTGGAATATCTCTACAGCTCTTTGAAACTTTTCAAATCATGCGAACAAAATCATTAATTAAATTCAAAAGTATCCCTATGAACAAAAACAACAGCTGTCAAAGTTTTATAGGTTATTTAGGCAGTGGCAAATTATTTGTTTTTAATTTCAACTGAGATTTTTGAAGTTTTTAAGCATTGTAATTGTCACTCCTCACACATATCAATTATTTTAGTGCTGTGTAAAATAAGAAAAAAAACCTGGAATGTAACATTGTTTACACAAGAGATTTACCAAGTGTTACGTTTACCTGCCTATACTGGGGATTGAGTACGGACAGATAATTATTACGGAAGGTTTTTTAAGGTTTTTGCACTGAAAAATTACCATATGCTAGCTATTAATAGGAATATTTATTGCTGTTGTTTTTGATTTTACTTGAGCCCCACTAAAAAAAATAAATAAATAAACTACATGATTGGAGCAAGAAAGAGCATCTAATATCTGAAGAATCCAGTAGTTGAGACATCACAAATTGTTATTGGAAACTATTAAACTTCCATTGAAAATGCTGCAAAAAATGAAGGAATTGTTTGACGTTTACATTTCAAGAGAAGCCCAAACTATTAAAAATTACAAATAATAAAAATAATTTCAAGCTAGTGACAATAATAAGCTGCTTTATATATACTTTATATGACCTCTTTGATGTTTGAGTATTCGTAACTGTTTTTCCACTTGCCGAAAATGAGCATTTCAAGTTTTAACTTCTGGAGTGAGAAAATGTATTTCTTGGACACTCTTCTCACTGTGAAATCTAAATAGATGTAGACATTTAATTTTGTTACAAATCAGAATGTTATTAAATGTGAACAAATCTGAAAATATGTTAGTTTTATGAACAAATCTGCATAAAAATGTTTGCTGCAGGAAAGGTTTCCCAATAAATAAAAACTCACTAAAAACAAATTTGAACAGATGTAAAAACTTTTTTAAAATTCAGCCAAATGGTCATGTGACAATAACCTAAAAAAAGGCAAAACAAACAAAGCTCTACAAGTTTAAAAATAAATCTAGAAATAAACAAATTATAAGTAGTTCACAGCATCAGAATTAGGATTGCCTTAAATTGCACTTTCAGTAGCTTCAAGTTTTCTACCTCTAAAAACCAACGTGAAGCTCTTATTTATGTTTTCCTTTTATTTATATAAGTTCTGTTTTTATTATTCTTTTGTTCTGTCATTTTTTATGTTGTTTAATTTAATGTTTTTATTTTACTTGTGAAGGTTTCAGAACACAGTAATCCTTGTGGATTAAAAAAATACAACTGGATTTGTTTTCAAAGACGTTTTGCTTTTTGTTTAAGAAACTTTCTTATTTCAAATGATAAAGGCTGAAACTGACCCTCGAGAGGGAGAGTGATTTGAAAGGGAGTTCGGTTTGCAAAAAACAACAGTTTGAAACAAGAATGCTCAAATGAAAAGTAAAACATCTTTAGAAATAAAGAAAAAGCCCAGGGTTCTCATTTATAAAGGATTGCGTGGAAACCATACTAAAAGTGAACGTACGGCCAAAAGGCGGAAATGGCGTACGCCAAAAAAAAATTCAGATTTATAAAACAGTGCGTACGCACGTTTCTGCGCATCTTTCCTTTATAAATCACAGACGCACGTCAGAGTTTGCGCACGAGGTCCCGGCCTCAGGTTCTACCCTCTACATGCCCACATTCAACCATAAACAGTCAATGTAAAGTACCTCATGAATGTTAAGATGTATTTAAATCAGTCAGTTGATCAATGTCAACAAAAGTGATTGGTTCAGACACGCTCCTTCATGCGTCTGGATGATGACAGGTGCTGACAACTGCTCACGTGAACAAAATGTCTGTAACTGACAGAGATTTTCCCTCATTTTGCTTTAGAGTAATCTAA